GTAACGTGTGTATCGTAACGAAGGTTTCGAAGTAAAGGTAGGTCAACACATTTTGTGGACACATTATGAGCTTATTTGTCAGCAATAAATATTTTATAAATATTATCAATGTGCACAAGATCTTCTTTGACCAATTTTAGCATTCTATCAGATTTTCCAGTCGCAACAGGGGTTCGAACTTTACACATGCTCTGGCCTCTGGTCATCCACAGGCTGTCAGCACGAGAAGGTCATCTGAAGAGAGACTTTACCCGTTGGAGGAAGTTGATCTCAAACTCTCCCCCATCATCTGGATCACTAGCTTCAATCCTACCCACATACCAAACTCCATCATAAACAGCTGCGACCAAGGTTCCGATGTCCAATTGAGCTGTGGGTTCCTGGTCCTTCTTGCTCTCTGGGTCTGCACCACCAGTGACAGATCCTCCTGCAGCTGTGGCAACATCAGACAAATCCTTACTCGCACTGGCGACTGGTTCTCCTGTAGTAGGTGTATCCATGGTGTTCTTCTTTAAACCTCCACTCTGAAGCTTGACCTTGGTCCAGTTGTCACAGTAGTCTCTGTTGAGACTGCTATCGCAGTAACAACTTATAACATTGACCATCAGGAAGGAAGAGTCTCTGCAGGACCAACAGCATGTAGCTTCATAGTGTTCTTGACAGCTTTGATACCATTTCCAGAAATTGAGGACCTTTGGATTTTTGCTTCTCTCAAATAACTCCTTAGTAAACGTGAAATAACTTTAGTAACGTAAGTATGATACATACGTTACCATGTGTATAACACTGGTTAATGTTAAATACCTCCAAACAACTTTTAAAAGGTAAGTATTAAAGTCTATTGTTTGTTTGTTAAACTATTGAATTAAAATATCAATACATCTATAATGCTTGGGATCTGCATTTTTTTCATGGTATACTATGGTAACTGGAAACTGCACAGGTCACAAGGTTACAGAATGGTAAGTATTTACTAACACCTAGTCAAATTAGCACTTTTTGTAAAAGACTTTGTGACTTATTTTGATTCGTGGTTTACTATGCTAAGGTTCTAGCATCTAAATTCAATGCTTTTCAGATATGCTTTATTTTTTTTAATCATATAGGGTGACCACCGTTACAATAATTACCGCATGTGCCGTATGAATCACTGAGAAAAACAAGCACTGAAGTGTTAAAACAGCAAAATACATCACTCGTGTAACTCTAGATATATCTAAATAACCTCAATGCATATAAATAATATGAAATTCTGACACATCTAGTCAACTTACCTGCACTTTCAGCGCTCGTCAATACACCACTGGAAAGATACGAGATAATGCTGTTTGAAGTTCTTTTTCAAGAAACTTTGAAGCAAATGGCGGTGTCTGGGACACGTGGCATATCCTTCATTCATATATCTGCCGTAGTTTCGTATTTATGACTGAATATCATTGCAGTTTCTTATTTTGAGTAACAAGAGTATCGGTAACGTATGTGTCACATCAATCTTCGCCGGCTTCTAGTTGACTTCCAATGAAGTCTTGTGATTGATGACGTTCACTTACATATGACCCTGTTTCTCATAATAAAGCCTGATAAACTGTACCTTAAACCGTATGATAATGTACATGTGGTAACGTTTGTAATCAAGAAAACAATCACGCTTGACCCATGACTTCTTTAGTCGGAAGTTACCAGCCCAATATGGTACTATTTTTGATTTTGGCAAAATAATTATGTATTTCCATATTAGATACATTATTCCTCGGCTTTACTAATCATGACCCAAAAAAATAGATATATACTCTCCAAAAAAGAAACGCATCATGAAAATAGCAATTTCATGTAGCAATGAATTAAAACGTGATTCATTTTACAAAAGGTTTTGCTCTGTTTATGATCCCTATGGTGTTTATGGTTTGAAACATCACAACAAAACGCACCATCCGTAAAATACCCGTATTTTAACAGCATGATTGTCAATTTCGGCGTGTAGTGTCACAGAATACACAATTCACATGCAATGCACGTGAAAGTTGGGGATCAGATAGCCTCGTTGATGGGTATAAAAGGTTGATCGCTGTCTGTCGATTATTCACAGTATTTGGAATATTGTTGACGAACGCAAAATGCCACGTCTAAGTGAAGGCAACCGTCATATCGCCATTGGTTTGCTTGAAGCTGGCCAGTCTCAACGTGCAGTTGCCCGACGCATGAATGTTCACCAAAGCACCATTTCACGGCTCTGGGAGAGATATTGCCGGCAGAATGCGGTAGCAGATGCCCCTCGTAGTGGGCGACCTCGAGCGACCACTGCGGCACAGGATCGCTACATCCGGGTACATCACCTGCGTCATAGAACAGTACCGCTCGACAAATACCCGGATTGAGGAGGCTTTCTGCACAGACCGTCAGGAACAGGTTGAGAGAGGCTGGTTTACGTTCCAGAAGACCTTATTTTGGCCCTGTACTTCGACAACAACATCGTCGACATCGAGTTCAATGGTGCACCAACGTTCAGGCCTGGAACCTACCGAATTGGCGTAGAATCTGGTTCAGTGATGAATCACGATTTCTATTGGAACGACGCGATGGAAGAATGCGGGTGTACAGACGTCGACGTGAACGTTTCGCCGACGCTTGCGTTCCCCAGGTGGACAGATTCGGCCGGGACAGTGTTATGATGTGTGTGTGTGTGTGGGGGGGGGGGGGGGGGAATCACACCTGCCGTAGGAGAAGTGATTTGGTGATGATCCAGGGCAACCTGACAGCTCAACGGTACTGTGACGAAATCCTACGCCCACACCTCCTTCCAATCATTGATCGCCAGAGGGAGTTGTTTCAACAGGACAATGCCAGGCCCCACACAGCACGTCTCACTAGAGACTTCCTCCAGAACCACAACATCAATGTGCTTCCCTGGCCCTCAAGATCACCGGACTTAAGCCCGATCGAACATCTGTGGGATGCCCTGGACAGACGGGTGCAACGCCGTAACCCTCTGCCCCAGACACTTCAGCAACTCGCACAGACACTACAGGCAGAGTGGGCTGCAATTGGGCAACACGAGTTTCTGAGACTTATTCGTTCGATGCCGAGGCGATGCCGTGCAGTTCTGGATGCCCACGGTGGTCACACGAGGTATTGACTTCAGCGCCACCACACGTCTCCATGTGACACTCAAACTGACTTTCCTCGAGTTGGTGCCAAAGACGGATACGTCTGCATTCCCAGTGTGCAATTTCGCTATATTTCATTGACTCATAAAGCCTACAAGATGTTTCAAAATAAACATAAAAATACAGTTGAAATTCCTATATGCGTTTCTTTTTTGGGAGAGTATATTAATACGACCAATCTTGTTGTGGTAACGTACGTACGAAAAACGATGAACGAAAGCCTTGCTTTATTTTGTTTGATGGTAATAAAGATGCATTTAATTATCAGAAGAAATGTTTATGATTGGATATATATCAGAACCAATAACTTGCAGGGCAGTCCTTGGTCACAGCCAGACATCATACAATGAATAGTTTGCTGGCGACAGGTAACGTGCACAGCGTTTTGCAACATTAAGCCGCTGGCATTTTCATAACGCTACCTGCAGCAATGACTTTTCTAGTTCAAAATGTTGTGTACAATAGCTATACCAAACGAGACATTGTATTTGACTTTTTAATCAGTTTTGAACCGTGCAATCAGGTGCAACATCAAAAGTCTCTCTTTACTGAGAATGAGTGTATGATGGTCTGATCCTCGGGTGGAATACCTCTTGAGTGCAATGATTTAATCCTATTCCTGGTGTCCCCTGCTGGATTATTACTAAAACTGGTGTTCTAAATAGGTGTCCCCAGCCGTGATATTGCTGGAATATTGCTAAAACTGTTGCAGTACCATACGTAAACAGGTGTCCTGCGCCATTTGCTGGAATATTGCTAAAAATGGTGTTGTACCATTCTAAATAGGTGTCCCCAGCCGTGATATTGCTGGAATATTGCTAAAACTGTTGCAATACCATACGTAAACAGGTGTCCCGCGCCATTTGCTGGAATATTGCTAAAAATGGTGTTGTACCATTCTAAATAGGTGTCCCCAGCCGTGATATTGCTGGAATATTGCTAAAACTGTTGTAACACCATACTCAAACAGATGTCCTCCGCCTTTATATTGCTGGAATATAGCTAAGCCCGTTGTAATACTATGCTCAAATAGGTGTCTTGCGCCGTGATATTGCTGGAATATAGCTAAACCCGTTGTAATACTATGCTCAAATAGGTGTCTTGCGCCGTGATATTGCGGGACTATAGCTAAGCCCGTTGTAATACTATACTCAAATAGGTGTCTTGCACCACGATATTGCTGGAATATAGCTAAGCCCGTTGTAATACTATGCTCAAATAGGTGTCTTGCGCCGTGATATTGCTGGAATATAGCTAAACCCGTTGTAATACTATGCTCAAATAGGTGTCTTGCGCCGTGATATTGCTGGAATATAGCTAAATCCGTTGTTGTACCATACTTACGGGCGTGTATCACTGGTTAAAAGCTGTAAAGTTGTAAAGTTGTATGCTTCATTATTGAATCACCATCTTCTAGAATGCCGATCGAACAATGCTGGAATATTGCTGCGCGAAACAACATCCATATAGCCCCGCGTCCATTCGCCCTTGAGTTGATTCACGGTGTACGTTTAGATCAAACTGAAAAATTCCCCCCAGCCCTTGATTCCGAAATCAAACCGACTACGATACCCTTCATAAGGGACCGTTAAGAATTTATGGCTGGTGTGTGTGCGTGCGTTCGTTCGTGCGTGCGAGTGTGTATAGCATGGAGTACATGTACAATTTGATGCCCCCACACATACACACACACACACCACACACACACACACACACACACACACACACACACACACACACACAAGTAACTCATGGAAACCTGTATCTTGAAACAGAAAGTAGAACTCACATCCAATGCTATATTTAGCAGGGTACATTTCATGGAAATCCAGTCAGTTTCCACGTACCGTTTCGGTTCTAAGAATAAAGTTGATTCTATCTACTGTGTACCGAAACGTTAAAAGCCACAGTGAATTGACAGCTCGTTCAGTAGGACCCAGATCTGGACGACTGCGTTGATGTTGGAGACATTGTTGCGTTAACGAGGTGAGTCTCGGCTGAGTTTGTGAACTGATACGATCGATGGTCGTCGTGATGTCGTTGTGCATTTGACATGGCGCTCAGGTCATCGTAGATTAGTTGTCATACTCTCTGATTCCATTTATAAAACCATTCTTTTTCGAAATGATTTTATGTAACACATCGTATTTCACACAAACACGAATGATATGTATTTTATTATTCGTGTAATGAGACTCAGGACAAACAAACCACGCACAGGCCTCTGTGAGGTTTAAACAGTTTTGTCGGTCTACAAGGTGGCATACTTTATCCCGCTGCATTATGGAGCATATGTTTTGGTTTAGATCCATTTTTCTTGTGGAACATGCATATTAACAACATAACCGAGAGTATGCGAACTGGGATTAGTATTTGAGCGAGTTTAGTTTAGTTTTACGCCGCACTCAGCAATATTCCAGCTATATGGCGGCTATTATTAGTATTTGAAGCGAATGTTCAGTTGAATGATGATCGAAGTTGTGAACATGTTATAACACATGTTACATATGTAACGTGTAAATACACCTTCCAACAAATTATTTACGTTTAGATGACGAATACCAGACTTAGATCCCGAAAGCAGGGCAAAATGAACCTGAGGCATTTAAAATTTTATGATGCATGTCATGATTTCCTGATAGCACACACAGGCATGCATTCGTGTTATCATACTTTGACTGTCATATCTGTAGGAACAGGTGTTTGTTGGCAAACGGGAAATAAAAAAAATATTTTGTGTGTTTTGTGAGCTAACATTTTGAATATGGGTATTGAGAATGTACTGCAGCTTCAACATTTACATTTAAGCAGCGGCATCAATCAATCGTATTTAAACATAATGTTTTATATTGTATGTATGTACACATGTACGTACGCACGCACGCCCTTACGCGCGCATGTATGTATGTATGTATGTATGTGTGTGTGTGTGTGTGTGTGTGTGTGTATGTATGTATGTATGTATGTATGTATGTACACATGTACGTACGCACGCACGCCCTTACGCGCGCATGTATGTATGTATGTATGTATGTTTGTATGTATGTATGTATGTATGTATGTATGTATGTATGTATGTATGTATGTATGTATGTATGTATGTATGTATGTATGTATGTGTGTGTGTGTGTATGTATGTGCGTGCGTGCGTGTATGTATGTATGTTTGTGCTTTGTGTGTGTAGTGCACCTATATTTCAACATCAGTGACACTGATATGGATATGAACCAATGAACACTGAAGTACATGGTGATTTACAAACTGTTTAGTACATCACAAGAGACATCTACAGACCTAGACATATATAGATGCATTCGACATAGGTACACTTTAGGTAGAATAGGAAACTTCATGTAAACCTCTCTCATTTGTTACACACCTTAACAGAGTCAGAAGAAAGTATACCAAATCTATTTCTTGGTAACAAGAATTGTGTTAATCATCACTCATTTCTGCAACATTTTATAAAATCTGGATGATATTGCACAAAACATGATGGACTAGTGAAGGCACGAGTAAGGAATGTTTATTGTGTGAATTATTTTTATTTTGATAAGGTTTACATCAAATTACATCTGTAACAAAATATCTTAAGAATGTCGCCATTGAGTGTTGACAGAAGACACAAGAGTTCATTCTGTGGACATACTTCTCTTATCGTCAGACGTTATCAAACATATGACATTCACTGAGAGGTACATCTGTTGCAGTTATAGAAAAAATAATCTGTTGTAGAAATAGACAAAATAATTACTGGTATAATCAACATCTGTTTTAGTTATAGACAACATAATTACTAGTATAATCAACATCTGTTGTAGTTATTGACAACATAATTACTGGTATAATCAACATCTGTTGTAGTTATTGACAACATAATTACTGGTATAATCAACATCTGTTGTAGTTATTGACAACATAAATACTGGTATAATCAACATCTGTTGTAGTTATAGACAACATAATTACTGGTATAATCAACATCTGTTGTAGTTATTGACAACATAATTACTGGTATAATCAACATCTGTTGTAGTTATAGACAACATAATTACTGGTATAATCAACATCTGTTGTAGTTATTGACAACATAATTACTGGTATAATCAACATCTGTTATAGTTATTGACAACATAATTACTGGTATAATCAACATCTGTTGTAAGTATAGACAACATAATTACTGGTATAATCAACATCTGTTGTAGTTATTGACAACATAATTACTGGTATAATCAACATCTGTTGTAGTTATAGACAACATAACTACTGGTATAATCAACATCTGTTGTAGTTATTGACAACATAATTACTGGTATAATCAACATCTGTTGTAGTTATTGACAACATAATTACTGGTATAATCAACATCTGTTGTAGTTATTGACAACATAATTACTGGTATAATCAACATCTGTTGTAGTTATAGACAACATAATTACTGGTATAATCAACATCTGTTGTAGTTATTGACAACATAATTACTGGTATAATCAACATCTGTTGTAGTTATAGACAACATAATTACTGGTATAATCAACATCTGTTGTAGTTATTGACAACATAATTACTGGTATAATCAACATCTGTTGTAGTTATTGACAACATAATTACTGGTATAATCAACATCTGTTGTAGTTATTGACAACATAATTACTGGTATAATCAACATCTGTTGTAGTTATTGACAACATAATTACTGGTATAATCAACATCTGTTGTAGTTATGGACAACATAATTACTGGTATAATCAACATCTGTTGTAGTTATAGACAACATAATTACTGGTATAATCAACATCTGTTGTAGTTATAGACAACATAATTACTGGTATAATCAACATCTGTTGTAGTTATGGACAATATAATTACTGGTATAATCAACATCTGTTGTAGTTATAGACATACAATTACTGGTATAATCAACATCTGTTGTAGTTATAGACAATATAATTACTGGTATAATCAACATCTGTTGTAGTTATAGACAACATAATTACTGGTATAATCAGCATCTGTTGTAATTATTGACAACATAATTACTGGTATAATCAACATCTGTTGTAGTTATGGACAATATAATTACTGGTATAATCATCATCTGTTGTAGTTATGGACAATATTATTACTGGTATAATCATCATCTGTTGTAGTTATGGACAATATTATTACTGGTATAATCAACATCTGTTGTAGTTATGGACAATATATTTACTGTATGATCAACATCTGTTGTAGTCATTTAAATTCAAATGGAACCCCTCAAGATTCAAGGTTTTAGGTGTTACTCTTAGCACAAATATTTCAGGTATTGTTCAGGTCAAATTTAGCTCAAAACCTTTTGAATTAAAACATCCGAGGAATAAGTTGATAAACAGAATCTTAACCCCACTTGGAAAGATTGCTTTGATCAAATCATTACTTATTTCTAAAGTTAATTATCTTTTTTCTAACTCTACCTAATCCTCCTGGTGTTTTTCTTAAGGAACTTAACAAAATGTTATTTAATTTTGTATGGAATAAGAAACCTGACAGAATAAAGAGAGAAACAATATGTAGACCAGTTAAGGAGGGTGGATTGGGTATGATTAATATGTTTGAAAATGTCAAAGCTTTGAAGGTGACTTGAATGAGAAAATTAGTTACTAAAGATCCCAAGTGGAAATATATTTTAAATGCTAGTTATTGTAAATGTAGTGAATTTGATAAGCATGGCAAATAATTTTGGAAAAACATTGAATTCTGATAATTCCCTTCTGGATTGATTGTTTCAATGCTTTTTATGATTTTTCAAGTAAAATTAAGCCTGATAATTTTGAAGATTTCTTGTCTGATCATATATTTTATAATAGCAATATTGTGATTGATAAGAAAACTATTTTTTATGAAGGGTGGTTTCAAAGGGGTATCTCTCAAATTTGTGATCTCGTTGATGAAAATGGCAGTTATCTGTCTCTGGTTGATTTTAATGAAAGGTACCAATTGAATGTATCTTTTTTAGAATACTATGGTGTCATTAACTCTATAAGAAAAGATTTTACTGGCTTGCCAATTGTGAAAGAAAACACCGGACAATGTACAGGAATTACACCAATTTCTCGGTTGTTAATAGATTTGATATAATATTTCTTGTGGAGACATGAGCTATTCACGATGATGTGTTCAGTTTTCCTGGATATCAACAATTCAGCCAGTTGAGAAGCAAAACTGAAAGGGGCAATAAGGAACTCATCGCAAGTCACTCAACTTAAATCAGCGTCCAACAACATTCTGTGGATAACGTATCACGGAGGACAAACGCCTTTATTCATCTGTACTGTGTATTTCTCCCCTGAGGGGTCTAGTGTGCACTCTGAGGAGGGATTATTTGATATCTTACAGAATGACATCTTATGTTTAAAATCAGACTTCCCAAGCTGTGAGATAGTTATTCATGGTGACTTTAATGCTCGTACTGGTGATGGTACACTACCTGATTTTATTGAAAACGATGATATGTATCTGCCCATCGCTAATGACATGGACTATTATCAAGACGATAGCCTACCACGCACATTACAAGCAATGTTGTCATCAAGCGTGGACTCTCTTTGTCAAACTTTTGTCAATCAACAGGACTCCGGATTTGTAATGGTCAATTGTGTTCAGACAGTAGTGTTGGTAAAATGACTTGTTTTGCCAATTCAGGTTAGAGTGTTGTTGATTATTTTTTGTGTAATTTAAACCTCTTCCAACTATTTACCAAATTTGATGTTTCAGATAAAATAGAGTGTACCCATTTACCTATAATCTATTTGTTAGCTTTCAACTGACTGACTGACTGAGTTTAGTTTTACGCCGCTTTTAGCAATATTCCAGCAATATCACGGCGGGGGATACCAGAAATGGGCTTAACACATTGTGCCCATGTGGGGAATCGAACCCGGATCCTCGGTGTGACGAGCCAACGCTTTAACCACTAGGCTACCCCACTGCCCCAGCTTTCAACAGTGTATTTGACTGTCATCGTGAAAATCTCACTGACCACCTAAAGTATGTCTGGTCCGATCACTTTCGTGGTGAATATGTAAACTCATGGAATAATCTTGAGGATTCAATTAAGAACGATTTTAACAACCACATTAGCAGCAATGATTTTGACAGTGCATTAAAATGTTTGGAAAAATGCTCTGGGAAACCCAGAAAATCTTGGGACAGAACTAGAACAGTGCACAAGCACAGTGATTGGTTCGACGATGACTGTTTACACGCGAGCTTGACAGCTCGTCAATTGCTGCGTGCGTTTCATGCAAGCAACGAAGAATGCGACCAACTGACCTACATCTCGGCACGGAAACACTATAAGGAACTCTGCTTGCATAAATCGGCTGTCTCGACCGATGTGTTTGTGAACAAGCTGGAACAATCGCTTCAGAGTAATAACAGTAAACCTTTCTGGCCCTTATTGAGACCGAAGATACAATCACAGCCAGGAACTATTACATCACTCGCGTGGATTGCACACTTCGAACAACTGTTTAATGGTACAAACTATGATCTAGATGAACTTGAGTTCTATATTTCTGTAAATGATTTCGTCTCAGGAATAACTGACAACCTCATTGAAGCAACTACTGATGTTGATAATGGTCTTGATCATGACATCTCTGTATCCGAAATTCAGGACGCAAACTCAAGTATGCATTGTGGGAAAGTCCCTGGGTACAGTGGCGTCCCAATAGAATTTTTCAAGTATGCTCCTAGACAATGCCTGGACATGTTGAGAGTACTTTATAACATGATTTTGTCAAGTGATGTTTACCCCTCTCAGTAGACACTTGGTGCCATTATTCCTATCCACAAAAAGGGGCCGAGTAATGATCCAGCAAATTTTAGGCCAATCACTCTAATTGAGGTTTCTGGTAAAATCTTTTCTAAAATCTTATGCAACAGACTTTCGAAATGGGCTTATAATCAAAATATTATTATTCCTGAACAGGCAGGTTTTAGGAAAGGCTTTCAAACGATTGACAATGTTTTTGTAATTGACACCTTCATTAATAAGTACCTAACACTTTATAAAGGTAGACTTTACTGCGCTTTCATAGATCTGAAAGCAGCTTTCAATTCTGTTCATAGACCATCCCTATTTTACAAACTGTGGATTGGTAATGTAAAGGGGAAAATGTTTAGACTTATCAAGAATATGTATGAAAATGTGAAAACATGTGTTGGTCAACAGTGGCTGTAGTCCCTTCTTTGACTGCCTCTTTGGTGTACGACAAGGATGCCAATTGTCACCTTTCTTATTTTCATTTTTTGTAAATGATATAGCAGAGTTTCTGAGTGTAGATAAGCAATATTGTGTTAATCTAGACTTGCTGGATCTCTTCATACTCTTATTTGCTGATGATATAATCTTATTCGATAGCACTGTTATTGGTCTACCAAAAAGATTAGATAAACGGACGGATTTCTGCAACAAGTGGCAACTAAAGGTAAATTCATCCAAGAGCAAAATTATTGTTTTTCGTAAAGCGGGCAGGCTTAAAAAGTACGAAAAGTTGTGTCTTAATGGCAGCCCGCTTGATATTGTTCCCAGTTATAAATATATGGGAGTACATCTTTCTAGCTCTGGTTCATGGTATAAATCTCAAAAGGTATTGTCTCAACAGGCTTGGAAAGTAATACTTTTGTTAGAATCAAATGTGTACAATTTTCATAAACATGTTAGTTCATATCTTTGCTAATATATGGCTCAGAAATATGCGGATTCCATCCCTCTAAAGATATTTTGAATGTTCATGATACATTCTGTAAACTCATATTAAAGCTAAGAAGATATGTCCCTTACATAGTTGCGAGAGCTGAACTGGGGAGATACTCATTAAAAGTACATCAACATTTGAAAATAATTAAGTACTGGTTACGTATATTATCCCAGAGTGAAAACAGTATACTACATTACAGTTATGTATATCAGTACAACCGACCTGAAAAGGGTCTGGATTGTTGGGCTCTTAAAGTTAAAAACCTTTTATGTTCTTATGGATTTGGTGAAATCTGGAACCCGCAATCTGTCTCCTGCATTCAATCATTTCTATCAGCTTTTAGAACACGGTGCACTGATATTGATAATCAGTTTCTCTTTGAATCGTTTGACAAACTATCTTCACTGTATTTTTATAAAACAATAAAGTTATCCAATGAATATGAAAACTATTAAAATGCTGTGAATATTGATGCATTTAGGGTTACTCTTTCACAATTTCGTACATCCAGTATTGATCTTATGATATCACAGGGTAGAAAATTAGGCATACCTAAAAGTGAAAGACTTTGTCCATTTTGTATCATCCCAAATGTAGAAACAGAACACCATGTCTGTCTAGTGGGTCCATCTATAATGACCTTAGAAGAAATTTCCTGCCAAGTTATTACTACAAATTTCCTTCAGAGTGTAAATGTAAACTTTTATTTACCACCAAAAATACTTTCATGCTTAATAACCTTGCCAAGTTTACTTTCTTTGCTCTTAAAATGAGGAGCAAGCGACTGTCCATTACATAACCTACATATTCTATATTCACATGTATATTGTACCAGATATAACTTGTTGAACTCAAACATTGCTACATGTACTGGTGGCGCCGCATCAACATCTTTGTCAATACATTCATTGTTAACTGGGCCTGTGGCCTGATTTACCGAAATAAACTACTACTACTACTACTTAGCTGTTACTTTCAATTAATAAAGGCTCAAAAGCCTATTACTATATCCTTTGTTCCTCCAATATGAAACCAAGAGCACAGTTAAAGTGGCAAGAGGATTTTCAGTGTGGTCTTGACTGAAACTGTACTTTCCTAAAATCGTTTAAATCAACACAAGACACCAAATTGAGATGGTTCCAGTACATAATACTCCATAGAATTTTACCTACCAATACATTTCTTAAAAACATTAAAATAAAAGATTCTGACTTATGTTCATTCTGTAATGAAGAAAAGGAATCTACTTGTCACTTGTTGTTGTAATTTGAATTTGTGCAAACCTTTAAGTCAAATTTTTTATCATGGTTAACAGAAGGTTGTGACCACATCCATGATCTCAATCTAACTATGGAAATGATAAATTTTGGCTGTAAGAAAATTGATTGTACTGACTCTGTTTTTGACTTGTTCATATTATTGGGAAAATATTACTTTAACAAATGCAAGCTCAATTCTGTTTTGCCAACTATTGTTCAGTTCAGAAGTGAGTTGAAATTGAGATATAACATTGAAAAATTTATTTTCTTTAACCAAAGCTGTAACGGCTAATTTTATTCGAAATGGGTCTTATATCATGGATTGTTCAAAGACGACTGAATTAATTATATTCCTAATATGTTTGATAATTAAAAATAATCTTGTATTTGTGCGAATGGTGAGTGAATGGATTGTCTTGTATCCCATTCAATTACTGTATATCTTCAGACTGACCTGTCCCCTGGCTGCTTAGTTTTGACTGTAACAGGGATTCAGAAATAAAATTTAAATTACAAAAAACAACCACAAGAAACAAAAGAAAACATCTGTTGTAGTAAAAGACAGTATTGTAAATAGTATGATCAACACCTGTGAAGGTACATCTTGACCTATCCCCTATCTAATGTTTCAGAGTCTATCATTTCACGATGTCTGTGGTTGGTGTTGACGCCCAGTGGGACTGGTGGCGTCGCGGGGCTGCTCTTTCCGTCGTCTGTGGGGGAACTGTTATCTGGGGCATTTGGATATATGTGAAAAAGCAGTGGTTTTCTCCACTCAACAAGGTGAGCCCTGGTTACAGCGGTTTTAAGTGACATCCCCTTATTTTTATTTCAGTGGGTGAGTCGGTTTGAATATAACACCGATATTGGCAATATTCAAGTTATATAGCCGCGTTCTGCTCAATGGCTGTGGCAAATCACATTTTGTCCGATGTGATACAACAAGCACTTTTACACCAAGAAACAAAGCACCAGTTACTATAATGTTAGTCTGCAAGCTTCCCGATTCATGGGAGTTAACAGACCATATACGCCCAGTTTCGACTTTAAGGTCTAGTCAGTTACCTCCCTTTGCTCGGGAAGCTGCGTTTATTCCTATAACAGTCACTTGTATCCAGTCGATGTTCACAAAGCGCAATACACACTATATAAATTCCTAATAGTGTTATTTCGTACTGGTTTATTGGTATGGATAAGAGGGGTTTTATCGTATGCAGAACCGGGGTGTTAACAATAATTTGTTTGTCGGGAATTGTGATTTACTTGTGTGGATTAACGGAGTTTTATTGTATTTTTCCTTGTCTCCATACAGATACCTAGCCGGCCGAGAGAGAGCCTCTTCTATGGCAACATGGAGGAGTATTTCAAGGGGGACAAGATGGACGTTTACACGGAGTAAGCTTGTTGATGCACTGTGGATATGCTGCTTGTATTCGTAGCAGCAACTTGTAAACAGAGTCTTTGGGACTCTTAACATTCAGCCTGTCCAATCCTCCAAAATCGAAGACAAATCATGTTGTCTTCTGAACATGCAGTTGTCTGAAAAAAATTAAAATGTGTATTTGCTCATTGGCATAATGCATTTTATTGATTCCAAAGCGAAGTTTGAGATACAGGTGTAAGTAGATAGAGTGATAGAACTGTTTCAGGTAAAAGTGTGAGATGCAAGTGTAATTAGTTGGAAGTGCTGCAGGTAAAAGCGTGAGATGCAGGTGTGGGCACATACAGTGATGGAACTGTTTCAGGTAAAAGTGTGAGATGAAGGTATAAGTAGATACAGTGATGGAACTGTTTCAGGTGGATGCGAGAAATGGGGACCGGCGTGATCCGCTACTTCCACTGCATGTGCGAGCAGCGGGTGATGATAGCTGACCCCAAGGCCATGTACCACATCCAATACACAAACAGCACCAACTACGTCCGACCCAACTATGTCAAAACGTGAGTTTACTTCCTGTCCTGGTAAGGAACAGGCACTGCAGACCCAAAGTTCTTGAGGGGCGTTGACTAGCCGAGTACTAGTGCTTAAAGCACTCGCTCGTCGTTCCGACGAATCGGTTTGATTCTAGGGGGGCAATGTGTGAAGCTAATATCTGACGTTCTCAACCATGATATTGCTGGAATATTACTAAAAGTGGTGTAAAACCATACTCATTAGCAGCAAAGATCTTGCAACCAGACATGATAACCACTGGAGTCTCGCCATTGCACCTAATGTAACAGCAGCGAAGGAAAGCGAATCCTAGTTGGAAAATGGGAAGCAACCCTGGTCCATGCTTGACATTAATTTATGAATGTGGCTAAACTGGATACCGTCCTGTCTCTTTGAACTACTTTCTGGTTAAGAAGCGTAAGTGTTGTGTAACCAGTTTTGTCTACTTGCCCTGGGAAGATGCAGTGGTATACAAGCTTGTCCATTGCGTAGATCGATGCTCATGATGTTGATCACTGGATTGTCTGGTCCAGGCTCGCTTATTTACAGACCGCCGCCATATAGCCTGAATAGTGCTGAGTGCGGCGTAAAACCATACTCACTCACTTATAAGCCTGTTGTTTGCATTTTCACAGTCCGTATTTATTTCCAGGGTTCTGGAGCCAGGGATAGGTATGAGTCTGTTGTTTATGAATGATGAGGAGCATTCGGTTCACCGCCGACTGTGTGGCCAGGCGTTCAAGACGACGGTCCTGCAGAGTAAGTCCCATATATTGGTACAGACTCTCCACAAAAGAACGTTGTCATTGTGCATAGCTTCCCGTGTGGCCTCCTAGCCTCCCAATCACCTTAGATTCCCTTCCGACCACCCTTAGACATCTCCTAGTCTCCGAATCACCTTAGATTCCCTTCCGACCACCCTTAGACATCTCCTAGTCTCCGAATCACCTTAGATTCCCTTCCGACCACCCTTAGACATCTCCTAGTCTCCGAATCACCTTAGATTCCCTTCCGACCACCCTTAGACATAAAACAACCAACAGAAAACATACAAATTGGTAACCATTGCTACATTATTGAAAATTGACAACCTTGATTTTACGATCACACATATACACATGGGAAAAAGTATCGGAACACCCAATAATTTTCATAGTATCAATATTGTCACGGTTAACAACAGTAAAGGAACCTTTACCCAACTCCAGTTTTGAACCCGAAAAACTGTAGTTTATTCAGTGAAGCGAGCATGACAAAAGGCACACTCGTTTTGAAGTGCTAATATATAGGGTTGTATGACGTAAACAAACGCGGTCATTGGTAAACAAATGGCTATATGGGGGATTACAAATCATGTGCGTTGCGATACTTTTGTCCATGTGTATAGTACCAAACTGAAATGCACGGGTAACACAGTTGTTTGATGTTAAAGGGTTGATCCCAGCTATGCAGACACACGGGGAAAGGCTGGTTGACACTTGGACAAAAAAGACTAGGAATGTAGGAGAGGGGTTGGTGGAAGTGGCCGAGGATCTGAGTAAACTGGTGAGTGATTTTAGTGACCATATCCTGTATTCATGAAAAACCTCAATCTGTCTGGCTGAATGGGCCTCCCTACGACACAGGGGCTTGTATCGCAATAATAATAATGGCATCAAGTTTATTATACACTGAATGGTTTAAGCACTAAAAGGATTGTATTATTCCTTGCATAGGGACCCGTGAAGATCCGGGTTAGAATCGGTCTTCAGCAACCCATGCTTGTCGTAATGGCGACTATAGAGATCGGGTGGTGAGCCTCGCGGGATGAAGCATGTCATGTTATCCGTAGATCGATGCTCATGCTGTTGATTGCCTGGTCCAGATTCGATTATTTACAGACCGCCGCCATTTAGCTGGCATATTTCTGAGCACTGCTTAAAACAACAAACAAACAAATCCTTGCCATGATGCATAATAATTTCTTTTGATTTTGTTTTCTTTGATCGTGTCTTTTGTCGTGAAATATGTTTGTTTATTTCAAGTTTGAATATGTCAAACACAATTGGGTTTTCCTCGAGGGTGACTAGAGCAGCAGGCATTGTTTTTGTTTCTTACATCCAACTCATGAACTGCACCCTTCTTAACAGGTATGTGAATGTCTGTTGGTTGATTAAACAGTATGCAGAGCACCCCCTGTATGTATATTAACATAGCCAGGCGTTGGATGTCAATATCAAATTTATACCCCTGTTCTAACGTTCAGACTAAATGTGTGAAGGAACATTACAGTACTTATCACAATTCTCTCCCTCTTTCAGACGACGGAGAACATTGCCAAGTGTGGGTTTGGGGTCAAAATGTGTGACTTATCAGCATCTCACGAAGACGTTGCAAAAGCTTTCAACGGTGTTTCCAAATATAAGCCAGGGTAAGAGCCCTTCATGCATACAGTATGGGGTGCCCAGAGGGCAAAGCTTCATCTCTTTAAGCCTATATACCGGGATCGTTACCAGACGTTTTCCATCGTGTGTGTTACAGATGTGATATTATCTACGATACATCTATTCCTGTCGCATATTCTGCTGATGCATGTACATAGGTACTTTAGCCCTGTATCCTATCGGTACTGTATTGATTGATTGCTTGATTGAGTATAGTTTTACGCCGCTTTTAGCAATATTCCAGCAATATCACAGCTGGGGGACACCAGAAATGGGCTTCACACATTGTCCCATGTGGGGAATCGAACCCGGGTCTTCAGCATGACGAGCCAACATCTTAACCACTAGACTACCCCTCCGTGCTGTGGTCACAATTGGTTTCTTTTTGGCCTCATTGATTAAAAACTTAATATTTCTCACTGTGGTAGCAAATCCACTCACTCTTTCACTCTAAAGATCCGGGTTAGAAATGGCAACCCATGCTTTTCGTAAGTGACGAACGGAATCTGGTGGTCAGGCTCGCTGACTTATTATCCCAATTGCACAAACCGATGATTATTGTGTTGATCACTGGATTGTCTGTTCCAGAAGTCGATTATTTACAGACCGCCACCATAAAGCTGGAATATTGCTGAGTGCGGCATTAAACAACAAACAAACAAACAAACAAACATGGCGTCTAATTCCAATCAGTTTCTCGACATTGTAAAAGAACGTTATGTGACAATGATGAGGCTTGTAGTCTGTCCCGATTACCGAGTTTCATCCCGATGATAACAAGGAATAATCTACTACAGGAAACTGAGGTTCCTCTGGGCCAAGCTCGCCATGAACCTGCCAACTAAAGCAAACAGGACGTATTCAAGAAATCTTAAAGTTTGCGACAAGATAATTGATGAAGCAATTCGCATCAAACAGGCCGCCATCGACACAGAAGCAGGTCTGTATGTGACAGGAGTGTGAACTAGTTGACGTCATACTTGTATGTAGTCAAGGGTCACAGTGGTCAGAGTTGCGTCCCTTTACCGTATACGTAGCTCCTATATGTTTCAAATGTTTGTGGTAAAAGTCTACGACCTTCAAAACAATCAGTGCACTTTAAGCTGACTCGCTTTAATAAAAGTCGAATAATATTCAGTGCAGCGTTCCGCCCAACTCAATCACTGCGGGGTTAAGGTGATATGATTGACAATATTTCAATACATTTGCCATGTACATTTATGTTTAATGACGTTATTTCAATGTGTGTCATAGATCTGATTATAGAGCTCACACGTGTCTCATATACATTGACAATAAACGCCCATATCATGTTCAACATGAAACAAATAATTAATGGTTATTGGATGGTGATGTATTTGCTACATGTATATCAGCTGATTGTGGACCATGAGGTAGCAGTGTTTCGAAGGCTGTTGTAACCTAGTAACGTTTTGATAATGGTTTTGTAATGGTTTGGTCAAATCCCACTTTGAACAGTGTACATGTAGTACTTTCTTTTGATCGGATGTCCATTTCCATATAGCATCCAGGTGTGTGTGATATATGTCCATATATCATCCGGGTGTGTGAGATATATGTCCATATATCATCAAGGTGGGTGTGATATATGTCCATATAGCATCCAGGTGTGTGTGATATATGTCCATATATCATCCAGGTGTGTGTGATATATGTCCATATATCATCCAGGTGTGTGTGATATATGTCCATATAGCATCCAGGTGTGTGTGATATATGTCCATATAGCATCCAGGTGTGTTTGATATATGTCCATATAGCATCCAGGTGTGTGTGATATATGTCCATATAGCATCCAGGTGTGTGTGATATATGTCCATATAACATTGGCTATGTATATATCTATCTGTGTGGGGGTTAGTGTGACAGTATCACTGGTTTCTCTCCAGTTGAGGAGGATGGTATGAAAGACATCCTGAGCGTCCTGATGCTCGCCAGGGATGAGGAGACAGGCCAAACACTCTCCAGGAAGCAACTCCGGGATCACGCCATGTTTTTCTTTGCTGCTGGGATTCAGGTAAATTACTGGTACATATAAACTGAAGTTCGGGGGGCGCTATATTAAATGTAGGTCATGGTACTAAATTTATTTATTTATTTATTTATTTATTTATTTATTTATTTATTTATTTTATTTATTTATTTATTTATTTATTTATTTATTTATTTATTTATTTATTTATTTATTTATTTATTTATTTATTTATTTATTTATTTATTTATTTATCTGTTTGCTTGTTTAATTATTCAGTAAATCTTACCTCAGAGAAATACCTTAATCTTTTCCGATAAATCTTCACTAGTACCCTGGATGCATCTAGCGCTCGGAACGATAATTGTATTACCTCCCTTTGCTGGCTCCGCCTTCTCACAGTAGCCAATCATATAAGCCGTTACAACCGAGCTTGTCAGTGTCAACAAAGATGGCGAGCCGCGAAGGTTTGATCGAAAAAATCATGCAGACAAATTGACAGGTCTACCTTAAAAAAATATATGCAAGAACTCCCTCTACTCCTTAACATTACTGTTTACCGAAGAAGCGGAAGTGAGGTATGACAGAAGCCTTGTGATTGGTACGCTCAACTCCCCAGCGTAGACACCTGATTGGACATTCGTGACCCACTCCATTCGTCACCACTCGCCCCTTTCCGTAACCTGCAAGAAGACTCGTCCCTTTCTCGATGGTTGTTATGTGCGAAAATACGACAAACCAATCAGAACGCGCGTAAATGACTACGGTGCTTTGGTAAATATAATCCCGAGTACTTAAATCGTTTATGGCATTATGTCATTATTTAAAAAATCATGAAAAATATATATCGTCATACATTCTCTTCCCACAGAGGTTACTCCTGTCATATCTTCCTACGTAACCTCTGTTCTAATACGGCCCTTTCGTGGTGTGAGCGTTCAAGACTCGTGATTGGAGGCAATCAGATTTAGTTGTGCAATCAGCGACGTTGTTTCAAAAGTGATCATTCGCAAGGCCTCGGTAATTTCCGTATACTTCGGGAAAACTAGAACCTCTTCCCCTGCGCGATGCGCAAACGTTTCTTCTAGACAGAACTCAGTCATGTTATGGCGGATCAGTGGCGTCTTCATCGCCCTCGTTGACAACGGACAAGCTAGCCATTAAACGTCTTGTGTGTGACATCAACACAAGTCCCCGGCAGATGGGGGATATTTGTGGCCCCACATTTGCTTGTGTTAGTCAAGTTGAATCTAAGTCGATGTAACACGTGTTCTGATTGGATAGAAAGAAGGGAGATAATTCGTGTTGCGATCTTTTGCCGCTAGGGGATTTTACGAGAACCGGGAAATATGGCCGTATTAGAACAGAGGTTCGTAGGATGATATGACAAGTAACCTCTGTGGGAAGAGAATGATCGTCATATTGAAAGTACAAAGAATTTAGCTAACAGGATTTTGCTGCCTATTATGATGTTTTTTATAAGAATCATGCGATTGACGGCGAGAGATTCAAATACACGCACGTGCGTTTGTTGACATAACGGCTCTCATGGGTCCAACTGAGGGTGTTTCTGACGATCTTGCGGGCTTGCTATGGAGATTGTACGTGCGCTTCCAACAATTTTAATAAATGTAATTATAAATCGTTTCAACACAATAATATTATATCTGTATGTAACTAATCAACTTTAATCTTTAACATTGGGCATATATTTCAATTCTCTGGGAATATCTTTCTCTTCCCACAGAGGTTACTTGTCATATCTTCCTACGAACCTCTGTTCTAATACGACCCTTTTATAGTACGAGTGTTCAGGATTCGTGATTGGTTGCAATCAGATTTAGTTGTGCAATCAGCGACGTTGTTTAAAATGTGATCATCCGCAAGGCCTCGGTAATTTCCGTATACTTCGGGAAAACTAGAACCTCTTCCCCCGGGCGATGCGCAAACGTTTCTTCTAGACAGAACTCAGTCATGTAATGGCGGATCAATTGCGTCTCCATCGCCCTCGTTGACAACGGACAAGCTAGCTATTAAATGTCTTGTGTGTCACATCAAAGTAAGTCCCTGGCAGAGGAGGGATATTTGTGGCCCCATATTTGCTTGCATTAGTTAAGTTGGATCTAAGTCGAAGTAACACGTATTCTGATTGGGTAGAAAGAAGGGAGATAATTTGTGTTGTGATATTTTGCCACTAGGGGATTTTACGAGAACCGGGAAATATGGCCGTATTAGAACAGAGGTTCGTAGGAAGATATGACAAGATACCTCTGCGGGAAGAGAATGCGGAAAGTGGTGAGTAAGTGGTGACGATTGCTGATTGGATAAAAAGCAAGCAAAGGGAGGTAATGCCGTAGATGCATCCAGGTACTAGTGGAGATTTATCGGAACGTATACCCTGGAGATTATCGAGGATGATACTTTTGTTGAATATTTAATGATAATACGATAGCCACATAATTGAAAAATAAACTTCAACCTGTCTCAATCTACCTAGAATACGGCCACCTGCATGTCCTGGTGTCTCCTGGCGCTGGCCACGAGACCGGAAATACAGGAACGAGTCAGGTCAGAGGTCACCAAGCACCTGCCTCCTAGAGGAGAGCCAATCACAGACGCCCATCTCCTCGAGTTGAAGTATCTGGACTGTGTAATCAGAGAGACCTTAAGGTAAGAGTTACAGACATGTCTTGCTGCTTTCCGAAGGCAACGCGACTGCAGACAAAGGACAAAACGTTGAAAAACTGAGTATGTCGGGATTTGGGGGATATGATCATACATCGACAAATTATCTATAAACCGAGATTGAAGAAGTGTCTATTGTGTATGTGATCAAACATCGATATAGGGTCTGTGACCAAACATAACTAGAGGGTCCACGATCCGAATGATCAAACATTAACAGCAAGTCCTGTTTACTAACTTGCCCCCAAGTAACGGCCTGCACGAGTTCATCGTACAGTATGGTCACAATTTGTTGTAGGGTACTCCCATCATTATTACATTGACCCTTCCACAGCTCACTGACCACCACTCGTGGCCCTAAACTAAAACAACTTTTAGCTAATCCCAAATTTCCTTGACACAAAACACTAAAGAACAGTTTAATCCCTCCCTTGATCTCATCTGTATACTCTATGCACTAATCTCTCTTTGGGTCAGTTCATTATGCCAGACAGGTAAATGCCGTGTGTTGTTTTAACTAATTGTAGGGGTACTGGGCTGTAGGGGTAGTGGCATGTAGGGGTTATGGGATACAACCCCCTCTACACATAACAGAATTAGCAATGTCCACGTTGTTCCTGCCAGGTTCCATCCCGTCATCACCAACTACAACAAACAGGCCGTCAAGGACGACACCATCAACGGATACAGCATTCCCGCCGGCACCATCGTCACTCTGTGTGTGGAGGCACTACACAGGTGGGTTCTTATGCGTGCGACTACGGAAGCAATGAGGAAACGTTATGCCCAGACATTTTCAGGAATTTCTGTCAGTTTCTAAAGTTTCGTAATTCTTGCTGTGTTCATTTGAACCCTGACTTCGGATAGTAAATATGTATCGTAGCAGAAAGGTTCTAAACCAGACGTTAAATATAATCATGCTAATAATGGTTGTCACCACCTCCCCAATCCCAACCCCACACACACCTCACACCCCCACCCACACACCCTCTCCAATTAAAAAAAAAATTGAAGTGGGTGACAACCATTATTGGCATGAGTATATTATGATAACCATCAATAGTATAAAGCTTCACAAGTTTCCAAAATATATTTTCATCACTGATGCCAAGAGGCAGTCAGTTGGCTTGACTATATGTTTCGGAGTTCGAATGCAAACTATTGCAAAGCGACACATGTTCCCTAAAGAATATAAGAAAATGAGTGTTTTATCGATCTGTACAAGTCTACGTCTAAAACGCAGGAATGCACAGAGAAGAGAGATTGATGTGGGTACAATAAACATTTAAACCAAATGGGTGAATAATATCGACTGCAGCAGCCGCAAGGTTTAGACTGACCTCAAACCACTAATCTCTTCATGACAGTTCCAATAACCCACCTTTTATAACTTTACTTTTTACAACAACAAAAAGAAAAAGAAGGAAAAAAACTATTTTTCGTACATACCATTGGACCAGAAGCATTCAATGTCAGCAAAATAACCTTATACACAATAGAAATGAAACTGAGAAAATTTACCCTCTTCCCAGTGTGTTCCAAGAGCTAATAATACCTCTTGAATATTTTAGTCATGTTGCCAAAGCTGACGTTTCTGCGTTATTTTCACTTGTTAAAGGTTAAATGAGGCATTGTATATATTGTATAATAACACAAATACTGATGAGTAAATGAATGATCCGGCACTTGCCTTTAAGTAGTACAAACAAATTATTGGAAAGTAAATAATCCTGAGAGTGGGTGATCCCCGGCAGATCTGGGCCAGTTCTGTGATGTTTGTATTTCTGCCCAAACATTGTGGACAGTTGTATTTCAGTATTCCAGCATGCAATTCAGTCCTGAGCAGACCAACCAGAGATCGATATTGTGAGCAATGTCCACGCCGTCAGGGCACGATGACACGCTGTCATTCAAGTCACAAAGTCAGGCCTTCCAATCCATTAAATCGCTTCTAAAAACCAACATACGAGGCTGATGTCTAAGTCTATCCCGGATTCCCCAAAGGGTCAAATATCGCCATTGTTTTAAATGTACCAGAAAGTAGATTATTTTTTGTGATTTTGTATTTTTCAGAAATCCCGACAACTGGGAGGATCCTGATGAATTTCAGCCCGAAAGGTTCCGTCTCCAGGATAATAGTCAAGAGAAAAACCAAAAATGGCGTCCGTTTGGAGCCGGAAAGAAGATGTGCCTTGGCTACAAGTACGCCATGATGGAGATGAAGGTGACCTTGGCCTTGCTGTTACGTGATCTCGAGTTCACGAAGGATGACACGGACTACGGCAGAAAGAAATGCATCACAATGTTTCCCGATCCCCCGCTGACGTTGCAGACGCGCCTCGTCAAGAAGTGAAGGTCGTGGCCGAGTTAAAAATCCTGTTTATGAGACAGTATTTCAATAAGAAACAGGTTTTGAGTGATTCAAATGCTAAACCTCACGAAAACGTTTGGTATGTGTATCTCGAGTTCGAGATAGACAGTCTAAGGCAGCAGGGACCGCAGTAAAGGTTCGAGATATGTGTACATTCGAGATAACAGATAACCTTCGACTGTATTTTGAGCATTTTGTATCACCTCGGAGGTACATAGTTTCATTTTTTAGGTTTGGCCTCGGTGAGAAGTAGAGTTATTGTGTTGTAAATAGTGAATACGGTACTAATCGTTGTCTTGTGTGAGAACAAATGTCTGAGTCGACAGATTAGAGCCTGTGAGCCGTTTACTGTGGTAAACACAATGTGATAAGCGACTCATCTAAATAAGCCATTCGTCAGACAATCACCACGCCACACACCTGTCAGCACATCATAAGCAATACAGCTTTGTACAAATGTATATCTGTTGATGTTTCCAAGATAACCCCCTGAGTATAATCGACACAAATTGTCTTCCCTAACATTTTATCATTGATTTGGGTGAAAAAAAACCCGACTTTCTCAACGACTTGTTTAAAATGTGTATCTACACAAACTGCTGCGGCAGTTTCCATAAGAAATTGTGTATAAAATGCTGTAAAACTCACTTTGAATTTAAAAACAAATTGGGCCCACCTTCATCGCATTTAAAAGTTGAAAAATAACGGGTACAAAGTGACATTTCGAGTCCTGTTCTAGGTTGTCCTTGATTACCACTGTTACATCCGGTTGAATTGAGTCAAGTTGCCACTAGTGTTGCCATTACTGAGGGTTCTTGAAATTGTCAAACATGAACGAAGGTCATTTGCTAAACAAAGTGGACGCTCAGTTTGAGCCGACTCTCGGAATATATGTAAATACTGAAAGTACCTTTCGCCAAACATATTAACCAGACAACGGGTATAAAATACCTTGTGTGTGTGTGCGTGCGTGCGTGCGTGCGTTTACCTAAGCGCATGATTCTTTGAGTATCTCTGATTGATTTTCCAATATGTAAATACTGAAAGTACCTTTCGCCAAACTGATTATGCAGAGAAGAATTAAGTAACACGCGTGTGCATGTGTGTGCGTGTTAAATTGTGTGTACATGTATATATGTATAAATGTGTGAGCGCATGTGCGTGCGTGTGTGAATGTCTTTGCGTCTGCCAAAGTAAAAAAATTATTCAGACCTGCGTATATATTGAAATCCCGTGAATGTGTTTGTTTTTTTAACGTTTTTAACATTGTAATCTCATCAAGCATTTCTTGCAGAAAACATGGTTTTACTTTACATGCCACTCCTTCTTCACAGCATTGCTCTGTAATAATAGCATTACAAGCATTAATCTTTTTATAAGTTTCCTTCATGTGAAATTTTACTTTAAGTGAAATTACACTTAAATAGGTTCGCTGTGCCAGTTAAATCTTGTTTATTCGTAGTGTGTTAATGTTTTGTTTATTTACAGTTGAATATATATATATTTCAATAATTTGCCCAGTATATCAATATTGATTTTTTTATTAATTTATGTAATATTAGATTTTATACGAGCATCACTTAACATTGTCGCTTGTGCCAATAGGTTGTGCCAAATGGGGTTAATCAATGACGATAAGCCTGTGATATAGTTGTACCAAGTATCTTGATAGTTTTGCAATAAATCATACTTTTCAACACCTGTGATAAAATCTTTGCACTGGCTTCCTGTTCAATACCAAGTTGACTTCAACGTTCTCTGCATATGGTTACAATGTGTGAAGCCCATTTCTGGTGTCCCCGCGCTGTGATATTGCTGGAATATTGCTAAAAGCGGCGTAAAACTGAACTCAATCAGTCAATAATATCACACCTGTAACACAGGCTTTGTTCATGGTATGAATACATTGTATGATACCCTGTGTCTGTTTCATTTGAAGATAATATGAACGTCCAAGATCTGTATATGCAAGAATTCGATTAAACGTATTTCCATTTCGTAGTTTTTTTCCTGATATTTGCATAGAAAACAGGCTGAATGGTATACATCCTCTACCTCATGATAAGATATTACACATTTTACACAAACGTGTGTTATATGTGGTTTATTCAAGGTTTGCCGTCAGTGGCACGTCCGTATTATCCGTACCATCCGTATCGCTGTGTAACCTGGGATGTTTAGTTTATCATTCAATAAATATGTGGCCCTGATGTGACAATGATGTATCCCATCTGTTGTACGAGTAGGTGATTCCATTGTTCAGCCAAGGTAACAGCAGTCATTGAGTCGTGTCTGTTTGAGTATTTAAACTGTCTGTAAATATGGGTGTGTGAAAAAAAGGCGAAGACCAACTCCATTTAATGAAGTTCTATTTGCCAGACTTAGTAAAGTGTGTCTGCGTGTATGACACCGCTCGGCCACTCGACCGTATGGCTTTACGCCGCTTTAGCGATATTCCAGCCATATTACGGCGGGGGACACCAGAAATCGCTTTCACACATTGGGCCCCTATGTGATAAATCGAACCCGGGTCTTCAGCTCGACGAGCGAACGCTTTAACCACGAGGCTACCCACGGCCCCAGTTACACATAAACACTGTATAGGCTACGGAACAGTTATCGACATAATTTAGCGGTATTTACAAAATTACTCCGCCGTTCGTTAAATTACTAAAACATTATTAATTATGATACTTAATTTTTCTAACTGTAACAGTTATTGCCATTCCGAATTTCACATGCCATTCGTGAATAATACACACACACACACACACATATACATACATACATACATACAAACATACATACATACATACATACATACATACATACATACATACATACATACATACATACATACATATATGTATATATATCCTTTATTGTTGTCAAATACCGTGAGGAAACATACCGGAATTGTTATTGAACTGCGCACGTGTGATACTGATGTATTGGCGATAACTCCTAGGCGGCGATAACTGTTCGCTAGCCAGTAGGCGATGTCCACCGCTGGAGGGAATGGGTAGTAGAGTGGAGACGGCGCTACGTGAAACGCTTCACTGATCAGGTCAGCCTTGCACGAAAAACAATGATCCCACTCGCGTTATTTTAGGGTAAGACGAATACTGATCCATGCCCTCCACTCGTGGCCCAGTCGCGTTATTCCGGAATAAGTCACATACTGACTCGTGACCCTCTGAAAGGATTTTATACTGGCGTATAAACATCAAAACTATTTCAAACAAGAACGATAACTCTATAGCTGTTCAATTCCAACAGTAATAAACATAACTGAAGTACTCGAAAGTTTCTACTTTTAAAATAGTTTAACCTGTTTTAAACAATTATGATGATAATTTGTTGAAAACATATTCTGACGTTATTATTTCCAGCTCTTCACCTTATATTTCCTAATGTTTATTTCTAAATACGGTTTAGCAATCGCAAATAGGATTTATTTCACGGATATGCAACTACAATAACATTATATTTCAGTTGTAAAAAGTCCCAAATAGACACAAAAAATCACTTTGAAATAATCTCAAACTGACGAATTCGCGGAGAGTTTAAACGTGATTTAGTGTCTTGGATGTTTACCAGTTGTCTGAAACTGGATGTTTAACCTTGCTGCCATAAACCTGGTGAAATTTAAAATGAATATTATTGTTAGCAAAGTGCCCAATCGTGACCAACGCCTGTTATTCTGTGTGTTGCTATCCAGCTATAGCCCCTTTCGAGCTTACTTGAGACTATTCTACTCATGTGGATGGGAGTGGATCAGAATATAACAGTAAATACTGTTTTTCATCCTCGCATACTGCGATACCCAGTTTGTGTACGATGGTATCAAATCATTACAGGATGGTAAAACATCGGGTTTAGATATGTTATTACCGGAAATGTTCAAATCATCATATGAACTAACTATGCTTTACATGCACGTTTTATTCAATAGAATGTATTCCACAGGGAAAATTCCACGCTCTTGGAACCAAGGTATAATAGTACTTATCCACGAAAATGTCCCCCGAGATGATAATAATAGCTACAGGGATTAGCTTTAAATAGTATATTCGGAAAGATTTTTGCAACCATGATGACCACAAGTCAGATTACCAATGCACCAACAAGAATTACGCATAGCTCAAGCACATTAATTGATCTGATTCTTGTTACACAGGAAAATAACGTGCTTAGCTCATGCGTCTTGGACCCTGTATGTAGTGATCATTGTCCAGTCTATATGACGATAAAAGATAAACTTAATAAAGTTGAGGCAACAATTAAAAGAACTGTCTACGACTTTAATTCAGTGGATACAGAACGTGCTCGTAGACGTCTCAATGAAATTGATGCAGCCGAAATGTTTTCTTCTGACATTGACAAAGTAGCTGAAGTTCTAACGACCAAAGTAAAGCATATCTTAAATATCACAACACCGAATAGACTGGTTAATGTAAAAACCAAATTAACGAAATTCGTTCTGCAATGCGAAAACGCAGCCGTTTTCATAACAAAGCTAAAAGACGCAATCATCCTTCCGACTGGGCAAATTTCCGATCAATTAGAAACAAAGTGATCAATTTAATACCCGATTCTAAAAGGAAATGTGATTTGAGAATAGATGATAGAATAAATACATCCGTAAGTACTAAGACTTGGTGGGGTATGGTCAAACAATATGTTCAAAGAAAATCTGAATACAACTACTTTCCGCCAATCATATCAAATGATGTTATCTACGACGACCCCGAAGTCATTGTTAATGATTTAAACGATTTCTTTGTAAATCAAGCTACAGTAGACTACAACCTCCAGACATCCAATTTGCATCTACTGCAGATACACTTAGTTCTATGAATCTTATACTTGAAGAGGTTCAAGACATTCTTCTTTCCCTTGATCCATCAAAAGCAACAGGACCAGATGGTATAAGGAATCGATTTCTCAGAGCAATTGCGAAAAGTTTATCTCCTTTGCTGAGGAAATTATTTAACTTATCTCTTCAAAAATCTAAATTTCCATCCATCTGGAAAGAAGCGTCAGTCATACCTCTTCATAAAGAGAATAGTGTTAATGAATGTTCCAACTACCGACCGGTCGCGCTTACGAGTTGTCTGTGTAAAGTTTTTGAAAATTGTGCATTTAAATATGTTTTCAATTACTTCAGAGATAAAGATATCCTAACCAATTTACAGTCGGGTTATATACCGGGCGACTCTACCGCAAATCGGTTAACCTATTTGTATGATTTTACTGCGAAAGGCCTCGATGATGGTAAATAGGTCAGAGCCGTTTTTTTGTGATATGAGTAAGGCTTTTGATCAAGTTTGGCATAAAGGCATAATATCAAAACTTAAGAGCTATGGTATCGATGGATTGAATTGGTTTGAAAATTACCTAGAAAATAGATCACAAAAAGTTATCATTAATGGACATTGCCCTGATCATAAAACTGTATTCGCTGGCGTCCCCCAAGGTTTCGTCTTGGTACCACTCCTCTTGATTGTGTACATCAACGATATTGTAGATGGAATAGAAAGTCACATTGGTCTCTTTGCGGATGACACCTCAATATATGTAAGTGTTGATGATCAGAATGTTGCCGCAGCTTGTCTCAGTGATGATCTAAACCGAATCCCAAACTGGGCAGAAAAGTGGCAGGTTAACTTTAACCCTAATAAAACAGAAACGGTAACTTTTTCTCGCAGGCATAAAACTGATAGGATTCCGACGTTAAACATGCATCAAAGCCAGATACAAGAAGTCCAAAATCATAAACATCTAGGCATAATTCTTCATAGTGATTGTGCATGGAAAAGTCATATTGAAGATATTGCTGACAAAGTCAGTTCCATGATAAACTGTCTTCGAGGTTTAAAATATCGCCTTTCTGGGAAAACGCTTGAAACCATGTACAAGTCATTCGTGATGCCGATATTTGATTACTGTTGTCATGTCTGGGATAACTGTACGATTGATCAATCACTTCTCCTTGAACGGTTACACTGAGATGCACTCCGCACCATATGTGGCGCGGTTCGCGGAACTAGTTATGAAAAATTATATCTTGAAACTAATTTTAAACCATTAAAAGAAAGAAGGCGTGACATCAAATTGGTAAACTTTTACAAAATGAATCTCGCCCCAGGCTACTTATGTGACCTTGTACCTAAAACTGTCTTGGCAATAGTCAATACACTCTCAGAAACAATCCCAAGTTACAAGCAATAAACTGTAGGACAAAAACATATGAAAAATAATTCCTACCAGAGACAATTAAAATTTGGAATTCGTTACCTGACGACGTCGCAAATGCTAATACAATAGGCGAATTTAAAACTCTGTTAATAAATTATGAATCCAATAATTACCTTGACCTGAATTATGGTAGTCGATTTTGTCAGATTGTACACAGTCGTCTCAAGCTCGGCTGCAGTGATCTAAATGTGGATAAAGTCCACAGATATATATCAACTAATGCCGAATGCGCTTGTGGATACCACAATGAAAATGTTATTTATTATCTCTTTATAGTATGACCAGAAATTATTGAGAATATTAGGATTTCTTGTATAAACAACCTTGACCAGCTATCAAGTGCTTGGTTTCAATCAAGAGAGAAAACTCCGTTAATCTTTTTTTATTAGTTTGTAAAGAGTTATCTCCCTTTGTTTACTTGCTAGCAGACGACATTTTCAGTGATCCTCAGTATAGATGATCTAGAGAAGAGGAAGTTGATTTTAGAGTATTATAACAAGGACATCAGATCAGCTAAAGTGATTTCAAGTAGAACAGGCATCCCTTTGTCCACTGTTTTGACAAATATTGCAAATGGATATGACATTGAGCACCAGGGAGGCGCAGGTAGGCCCAGAAAATTGACTGTCGGTGATAGGAGGCGGCTTAGTATTCTTATTTCTAAAAACAAACGAAGGAGTTTAGAAAACTTAAGGCTGGATATGATTGATAGAGGCACTGTGGCTGTCTGTAAGGA